ATCAATTTCGATGAAAATTTTTTTATTCGACTTCTACAGATCCGTAGAATTCGAATAAAAAAAAATTCATCAAATTTGATCAATCGGTTGCCGAGATATGATCGATTAAAGTTTCATAACCAATTTCAGCGCAGTTTCTATTTGAGATACGTTTTAAAAATTGGTTACGAAACTTTGATCGACGATATCTCAACAACTATTTGATCAAATTCGATGAACTTTTTTTTATTTGAATTCTACAGATCTGTAGAATTCGAATAAAAAAAAATTCATCGAATTTGATCGATTGGTTGCCGAGATATGATCGATCAAAGTTTCATAACCAATTTCGGCGCAGTTTTTATTTGAGATACGTTTTAAAAATTAGTTACGAAACTTTGATCGATCATATCTCGGCAACCAATTGATCAAATTCGATGAATTTTTTTTTATTCGAATTCTAATGTACCGTAGAATTCGAATAAAAAAAAAATCATCGAATTTAATCGATTGGTTGCCGAGATATGATCGATCAAAGTTTTTTAAACAATTTCGGCGCAGTTTCTATTTGACATTCGGGTTAAAAATTTTTTTAAACTTTGATCGATTATATCTCGACAACCAATCGATCAATTTCGATGAATTTTTTTTTTATTTGAATTCTACTTATCCATAGAATTCGATTAAAAAAAAATTCATTGAAATTGATCGATTGGTTGTCGAGATATCATCGATCAAAGTTTTGTAAACTATTGGGTACAAAACGTTGATCGGGCAACCAATCGATCAGCACAGTTTCCAATTTTTTATTTTTATATATACGTACATAAATATGTACTGTACGTATATATATAATTAATTTAATTTTGGGCTGGATAATATCTGGGATCTCTGTTAAATTCAAAATTTAACTCAGATCCCCTTTTTTTTATATATACATACGTACATATTTATGTACGTATATAAATTAAGGTTGGGCCGGGTAATACAGGGATCTCTGTTAAATTTAAAATTTAACAGAGATCCCGGAAAGGATCCCTCATCCAGGATCCTTTGGCACGCTAAAATTTTTATTTTTTTTTAACAGATGCCCCGCTTACGCGAGGCATCTGTTAAAAAAACGTGATTCGTTACCAACAATAGCCCTTTAGTATTAAAGGGCGCCAACAACGTTGTTTTGTCGATTGCCCTTTAGTATTAAAGGGACAACAACGTTGTTGTTGATTGAAAATAGCACAGGCCAATTATTAACGTTAATGCAGAAAATGAAGGTACTTTGAAGATTTCTTTACTGCCATATGCTTTTTTTCTGGATTATAAGAAGTTGATCTATCATTTAAAACTTATTATTATAATTCAGTAATTACTGAAAAGAAATAAACCGAATTCAAAGAATATGTCTATATTGTAAAAACTGGATCTTCAGCATAAATGAGTCCCCGTACTATTCTAGAACTTTCAACTCACAATATTAAAGAATGTCTAGCTCGTGTCAATTGGGTGCCCTAATTTCCCCCACCACTTCACTATTGGATAACTATAAAATTTGATTAATAACACAGATACTCCGATATATGAATAATTAGAAGAACCAATCAGAAGTGGTGCGGAAATTAGTAAATTCGTGTAAATTTAGTATTAAATGAAAGCTTAATTGCATCGTAATACTGTAATCATTAAAATTTATACGATTGCAAAACGACGTATATATTTGACAGGTGTCAATTGATAAATGACAAAAAGAAAAATGCGTAACAATATCGCATTATTTGGTATTATGATGCAAATTTTTCATATTGAAAATCACATGATTTTCGCATCACGTACATGCATAAATAGTATTTTAAAAAATCGATCTACATCATTTGTTACACCGGGTACTATGGTCCGATTAAAAAAAAAACCAAGATACTTAGCAAGCACAATCACCGTAAACCACCGAGAGCACCGTTATTGAACTAATATTAAGTCTTTTATCGATTTCCTTATTTGAAAGAGTATCTAAGACGAAGTAAATTTCACAATCACATTATGAATTATTCTACAATACAGTAATTCTTATTACCTGTTATTGATTGCTTTGTATATAATAAAATATGAATGCTACCAAGGGAAAACCTGTAATCGTGCTTTTAATTATATTGTGTGTCCGGTTTGTTCCCTAAGTTTCGTCTAGGGAAAACCTATCATCGGGCTTTCAATTATATTATGTGATGAATCGTCACAAAATATAATTGAAAACCCGATGACAGATTTTTCCTAGACGGCACTTAGGAAACAAACTGGAGACAAAATATAATTAAAAACCCGATGACAGGTTTTCCCAACTCGTCCAGCGACCTCCCAAAATTTTCAGAATTTCGCTATACTCCGATTAATTGCTATTACGTTATAAAAGAATTTTATGATAATTCAATGGTGCTTAGTAATTGGTTATCCAAATTTATTTTGGTAACGGAAAAAAAAATTTTATAATCAAATAAATGTTAGAATTACCAATTTTTTTTTCTTTTTCGTTATCCAAGTAAATTTGAACAGTGAAGAAAAAACCATTATTACTCTAATATTTAATTACTAAATATCATCGAATTATCATAAATAACATAATAGCAATTAATCGAGTTTAGCGGAGTGCGGAAAGTTTTGGGAAGGTCGCTGTACGAGTTGGTTTTCCCTTTGCAGCGCTCATCTATAATATTTCCCAACATTATGTAAAATCACGGGAAGTTGTGTGATTTTTTCAATATTACTGATTGAAATTCCCCATAATCGTTATCACGAAAATCGTGAGGTCACACATTTTTGCAAACCGCAATCATCAACTGTGTCTTTATTTTTGTATCCGGATAAACTAAACGATTCTCAAAATCGATGCTGATAACTAAAATCTATTAAACTATATTCTAGTTATGGGCCTGTTTATCTAAAATAAAATAATGCCGGTAGATTTCTTTATTTCCAGCCTCATGTTTCCTTTTTTTTTTCTTGTTATCTCAATAGTTTAGTGATTTATAGGAATCTGACATATTAAAAAAAATTGACCTGTAAGTAGCTATAATTTCATTAAGAAAATTTAGCATAATTTTTTTTCTTAGGAATATCAACGAACGGTCATGCCAGTCATTGTCGGTCACACAGACCATGGCTCCGCTCTACAACAGGTGTCTAGACGCTTTTGCAATAAAGTGATGTGGTGCATGAGAAATGACCAACCGGGACGCGTAAATTTTGATTGCCCGGATCATCCCGACATCAAGACAAACCATGTGTGCAAGAAAAAAGAGAAAAAAGCGAAAAACTAGTGTTTCAAGGCCTATAACCACGAATCCTAACCGGAAGCCAACAAAGTTTATCCGAATGTGCTAAATGCGCCACATAACGTTATTGGTGGGTTCTGAGATTCTGAGTTATGACAACGCGGTCATGACCGACAAATAATGATGCAAACGGCTTAAGCCGAACTGCGGGTAAAACGGCTAAGCCTCATAGACAGAAGTTCGTCTAATTGGCTAGTATAAATAAAATTGTTCGTGTAACTTATTTTTAAAGTACTCATTAAGAACGCAACGCTTCACTAATCAAAAATCAAAACTATTAACTTTCACCACGCAAAAGAATCCTCCCAAAAACCCCCAAAGAACTTCGCTTAAAGACAAATATTTATTGGACCATATCAAATTATACTGTGAAATAAGGTAACTGGAGACGTTTTGGTTTAAGACTGCCTTGCTACATTATATTTAAAAAAAACTCTTACCGTATTTACGCGAAATAACGCACCTCTGTGCGTTATTTCGAGGAGATGCGCGTTATTTCGAGTACGCGCATGGGCGTTATTTCGAGGCAAAGGTCTAATTTTTACAAATTTGAATTTTCGGAATAACGCCCATGCGTGTTATATATGTGCAAATTTAAATCTACGTGCGCTGCACCTATTGCGCGGATCCAATTTACATCATTGATGGTAAGTATCAAGGTGATTTATTAACATTAATATATGGTGTGTGCGTTATTTCGGGACGCACATGGGCGTTATTTTGAAACCAACTATGCTATTTTAAGGAAATGCGATTTTCAAAATAACCCCATGTGTAATAAATATCACTTATACTCCTTCGCATGCATGAGGTTAATTAATGTGGTGGCTTATGCTGAGATTTGGGGTCCCCATTTAAATCTATAATATCTACTAAAATTCACATATACTCTTTTATTAATAATACTAACCCTAAACCCTAACCTAACTATGAAAAAAAGGCTACAAAAAACGCCCCAAAATTTTTATAATTTTATAATAAAATAGATCAAATCCTCAGCATAAGCTGCCACAATTAATTCTTTGGTATATTTATTAATTTATAAGTTCCTTTGAAGGTTTTTTTCGCTTCTTAGTATAGTATTTAAATGATTTTTTTAAAAGTTACCCATCAGACAAATTTATTATGAAACAATAGAAAATTCTTTGTATTTCTTAATTAGGTAGCTGCTCGATTTATTCATGAGTAAATAAATTTGGTTGATAAAAATGATGAACTATTATTCGGTGTCTCGCAAGTTAGTGAACATAAATAATGCAATATAAATACTACACAAAATAAAACTCAGAAAATCTTATAATCTTCGAATTGGTATAATCAATATACATTTTATACTTTTTTTTAATGAATCTAGTTATAAAATAGGCGGCTGTTATACATACCCCCCAATTTTGCTATTCGTACCCCACCTAGTGATGTGCCGCGTACAGTACTATATGTACTGTACGTACGTACTATACGTACTGTACGCGAGAATTTTTGCCGATCATTTTATATGTAGTCTGTTTTATATAGCAATCGGCCAATCAAAATTAAAGATTTTTTTATTGTAACAATGCAGATCTATTTCTATTTAAAAAAAATGTTGGGGCGAAACCAAATACGTATAGCAATAGTGACGCATGCATGCATTTATTGATATATTTATCAATGTATTAAATTTTTTTAAGACTTACCCGTTATAATTCTTTTCCATCTTTTTAAATGACAAAAGTTGGTAAAATTTGGGAACACTTTACAAAGTTAGGAGTTATAGAAGGATATAAACAAGAAAGAGCAAAATGTAATAGATGTCCTTTTACATGTGCTAGTACAGTATTGCGATGTGAAGAACATTTTAAAGTATGTACTAATACGAGTATTGAAATCTTGAAAGAATATTTTGGTGAAGAATTTGAACGTCCTAGATTTAATGGTCCTCGATATGCTAATACAACAAATCAGTTAATAATGAGATCTATAAATAGACCAAATGGAAATCTTAATCAGTTTTTGGATAATATAAATACAACTGATCAAGCAAATCTACAATATCATCTTGCTAAGGCTATATTTCAGTGTGGACTTCCTTTATCTTTTTCTGAACAAAAACCAATTATTGAGTTTTTTAAAAAATTACGTCCTTCATTTAATCTACCTAAAAGAAAAAAACTCTCAACAAACTTACTTAATAGAGTATATAAAGAAACGAAACTTGAGGTTGAAAATAAAGTTGATTATATATGTATTATTACAGATGGATGGTAAAATTTATTATTTTTTATTGATTTTTGATCATAATTTTTTTAATAATTAATTAATATAAGAAATAATTATAATTTTAATAGTAATAAGAATATTAAAATCAGTTTAGTAAATTATAAAATATTAATAATTTACATTTTATAATCATATAAAATTTTTTTATAAATTTATAAAAAATTTTTATTTGATTACAAATATAAATTATTAATATAATATTTTATAATTTACTAATTTAATTTTAATGTTTTTAGTATTATTAGAATTATAATAATCTTTTTTATAACTATTTAGCAGAAAATAATTTTTGAATACATTAGAAAATATTTTTTGGATACTAAATGTTAATAGTAATTAGATTAATTATTATTAATATATAGTATTTTTGTTAATTATTATTATTAGTAATTATTAAATAATGTAACAAAAATTTGTAAATTTAATTAAAATTTAATAATAAATATCTTGATATAGCTAAAATTTTTACTGTAAATAGTATTAATATATATCTATAATATATTAAATTTTTAGTTAATTTGGTTAAAGTAATTATTTGTATACAATATTTGATTTTTTAAAAAAATTTAACTATCCTATATAGATAATTACTTAATAATTATTTAACTAAATTAGTTAAAAATTTAATATGTTATAGATATATATAGATATTATTTATAGTAATAATTTTAACCAATTTAAATTACTAGTTATTATAATATTCATTATTAACATTTAATTAAAAATTGTAAATTTTTATTATATATAATTAATAATTGTTTTTACTACTAATAATTGTCTAAAAAAATTTTCTGTTAAAGTTTTTATAATACTATTATTATTAAATTTAACTAAAAAATTTTGTTACTTTTATTATAAAATTTATATATATAATAGTAAATTATTTTCTAAATAATTTTGGTAATTAGTTATTAAAAAAATTATAGTTAAATTTTAATTATTCTTAATAATTAATATTACAAATTAAATTTTATTAGGATATTTATTAATATATTATATTTAATTATAATTTATTTAGGTCTAATTTAAATAATGAACATTGGACTAATATACTTTTTACTACACCTATTCCTGTATTTATATCAGCTAAACCAACTGAAGAAATTTAACAAAATGCAATAAATATTGCTAAAGAAATTGAAAAAGCAATAGAATTAATTGAAATTACAAAAGTTTCAGCTATTATTACTGATAATGCATCAGTAATGAAAGCTGCATAGAGAATTTTAGAACAAAAATATCCTTTTATTATTTTTTTTGGTTGTTTAGCTCATGGAATAAATCTTTTAATTGGAGATATTATGAAAATTAATTGGACAAAAACTATTCTTGAAAATTCAAAAAAAATTGTTCTTTATTTTCATAATCATACTATTCCAGCTGCTATTTTTAAAAGATACCAAAAATCAAAATATGGTTCTAATTTTAAAGCATTAAAACTTCTAGTTAAAACTCGTTGGGGATCATTAGCAAATTGTTTAGATTCAATATATAAAAATCAATTAGCTTTAAGTCTTACTATTACTGAAATTTCTAATAATAATTCAATTGAATTAGATAATGAAATTAAAATAATTATTTCAGATGAAGATTTTTGGAAAGAACTTAAAATACTTTTACATTTATTAAAACAACTTGTAATAGGTATTTTTCTTTTTAAAGGTGATCCTCCAAAGTTATCTAAATTTTATGAATAGTATGATAAAATTTTAGAATTAGATTGTAAGTAATTATTTATTTTAATTTTAATTTGTAATATTTTATAATTTAGTAATTAAAATTAAATAATTTTAATACTATTTAATTTATTTTAATAAAATAGTTTAGTTAGTATTAAAATTAATTAATTATAATTACTAGATTATATAATATTTATTATAAAACTTATCTATATTATAAATATATTAAAATTTTAATACAATTATATTAATAATTTATTTATATTTTAGGTATTCAACAACTTCCTGATAATATTTGTAATAATATATTAGATATATTATCTGAAAGATGGACAAAAATGTATCATCCTGTTTTAGAAATTGCATATTTATTAGATCTTAAATTTGTTGGATGAAATCTTGAAGCAGATGGAATGTCAGGTATTTCAAATTTTTTAGAACAAAATTATCCAGATAATGCAGAAATAATTTATACAAATACTTCAATACAAATCACAAACTGGTCCATTTCAAAATCAACTTGCTTGGAAAACTATAAAAAATGTTGATTCAATTACATGGTGGCAAGGCAATTTTAAAGTATCAGCTCCTGAACTTTATAAATTAGCACAACGAATACTTACAATTCCAACATCTTCAGCTTCTTCAGAACGTAACTGGTCAGCATTTAGTTATATACATGACAAAAAAAGAAATAGATTAAGTCCAGATAAAGTCTTTAAACTTGTTTATATTTATAGTAACTATAAGTTAAAATTAGTACAAGAAGAAAAAAAAAATAGAAGTTTTGATAAAAATAATGATTTAGATACTATATTTGATAATTTAGATCAAAGTGATAGGTATAAAGATATTTACAGTGATGAAAATATTTATGATAATGAAAATGAAAATTCTAAGGAAAATAATGAAGATACAGATAATAATGATTAACTTAAATAATATTTTAAATTAAGAAATTTAATATTTAAATATATATTTATTATATAAATATATATAGTAATATATTATTAAGATTTTTTCCTTAATTAAATTAAGATTTTTTTTTCTTAATATATGTATAATTATATATATTTTTTAAATTATATTTTATTAAATTTTATATATAAATAAATTTTATTTTATAAATTAAATACAAATACTAATATAATAACTAGAAAATTAATATATAATATTTAAAAATAAATAAATAGGTTGCTGTAAATAAAAATTAAGAAGATTAATATTTTTAAAAAAATTAATACTTTAACTTTTATAACTTATATTTTGATAAATTTTGAAACTATTTTAATAATTTAATAATCAAAAGAAAACTTAGATCTTAAAAACTCTTTTGAATATTAAATAACTAAACTATCTTCAAAATTTATTAAGATATAAGTTATGAAAGTTAAAGTATTTTCATTTTTTAAAATATCAATTTGCCTAATTTCTATTAACAGCAACCCAAATATATTAAATAATAAAATATAAAACCCTAAGATTAAGTTTTTTAATAAACCGTATATACTATGATTTTCTTAGTACTGCCAACAAAAAATTTCAGGTATGTAATGATTGAAAATGTGTTTAGTTAAGATTAACTTTACTTTAAAATTAGTAATATTGTCCAAGAAAGATTTTTTGTTAAAGCACTAAAGATAACTTTTATGCAGATTTTTGGTAAAATGAACAATTACTCTGCGAAATGTTACATCAAATAATGATTAGCTATTGGTTAATTTCCTGTC